CAGAAATATTTAAATACTATGCACATACACACACACACCAATATATGCTCACTGACAGTAAATGTACAACCTAGATAGTAATACACACACATAGAGGATATATCTGATTTTATGAGACTGATCCAAATACAGAGCATCTCTAGAGGCCTCCTGCAGGTTTACACATGTACCTTCATATACAAACATGCAGATTCTTAATGAAAATGAAACTAACCGGTGTATCTGAGGAGTCATCAGCCAAGTGCAGCCCGAAGTAGTCCCTCTCAGTCAGCTCCAGGTGCTTAAAGACAGCATCCAGCAGCAGCTGGCCATGGTCCGACTTCTGCAGAGTGAAGAGACACAAAACAGAGAATAAATCCAGAATTCGTTACGTGGTTTGTTACACTGCAGACAAACTGGATCTCTGGATCTTATTCTTGTTTCTTGGCTACTCCTCTCAGTGGAAGGTCACAGAGGGAACAATGAGAGAATGCAAAGGGGAACCGATTAAACCCCATCCTGTGCCATATTGTAGTGAAGACTGAAGCCCAGTGTTGTTACACTTCAAACGCCGATATCCACTTTTGCCACCACAGATGTTTAAATTATTTAAACGCTCACTGCTCCAGAAACATTTCACAAAGTTCAGACTCATGTGAGATTAACCTGTGTCAAGCCATATTAAATTTCTTTCCAACCACATAGGGCATAACATGTATAAGGAATTAAGCAAATGCATGATTTTGGGCTATTGTCACATATTTATCAATTCTGGTACTTGCTTTTTTTTCAGTGAATGTTTAATACCATCTGACAACTTTCTAGCAATTGAACACTGCTCTTAAAATATTGCAGGCACAAAAATGTACATCTAAAGTCTGGGTGGGCAAAAAAAAACTGTCAAAGCTTAACCCTGAAACCATAATTTGTGTGTGGTTAAAGTTTTATAAAGGAGAGACATGGAAAGAGAAACACTCAGAGGCCGAGACAGTTATTAATTTCAAGTTAATCAATGACCACAAGCTTTGACAGGGTTTAACTCATGCTTTCTGATGTTTACTTCAAATGGGGCTTCGAGGTGGGGAGCAACCAGCACTGCTATGTGTTGTTCACTTGGTACAGACAAGAAGGATTTATGTAATAATCTTCTGCTATACTCAAGCAGATGTTAAAAAGTATGTCTACATACCTTAATAAGAAAATATGTTTTTATTGTTAAGTCTTAAAGATGTTACCATCAGCTATACTAACGTTTTACTCAAGAATACAAGAGACACCATAACATTTGAAGGCAAAGGCCTCAACATATGCAATTGGTGAAGAGGTTATGCACTTTGTGCGAATAAAATAACAACAAGAAAAGAGAAATAAAAACACACAGAGTGAGGGATTGAATGAAAAAGAGGTGAAAGGTTGTCAAACCTGAATAAAGTGAGGAATAATTTATCAAAGAGATTATTAATGTAACATTGAGAGAGTATAAGGGCAAGAGGATAAACTGTGGGATGACAAGTGGAGCAGAAATTCCCACCTGATCCCACTGCGACTTTGAGAGGAAGAGAGGGATGGTGTGCAACTCCATCAGAGCTCCCATGGGAGAACACACACACACACACACACACAC